TGCCGGTAGCAACAAAAACTGCGGGGAACCATGCAAAAAACGCATCTTCGCACGAGCAGCCCGTGCGTTGGCCAATTATTTTGGTTTTTGATCCGTGTTTTTTTATAACGCGAAATAAAGGATACCAGTGACTATAAATATGAACGGAAATAATGGTTTGGGTGGGCATTACACATGGTATTAACTATCCGTCTTCGTTTACTGCATTTATTTCCTCGCAGCGACTAGCAATGAAAATACCTGGAAAACGATGGCTGGGGTTGGGGATATGTCATTTAGGATTAGGAATGCCATTCATCAGGTCCGATTTCTTGGAACCGTTCGAGTATTTGTGACCTAGAAGTTAGTGTAAAGTAGGTCAACGGATGTGGTGAACCTGGTGTTATTGATAACTTGGGTCTTCTTCACAACTTTTAATCACTAAGTGAACAAAACTGCTCATTTCGTAGTGAACACTACCTATAAGACTTGTAGTTCCGCATTTACACTCTTCATCAACTATTCCACCTGAATTTTGCTTTTCTAGTATCGCAGCTACAATGCGTTCGCTGCTACAAATTGTTATGTCCAGCCGCTCTAAATTTTTTTGCCAAAAGATTGTTGCAGTGGTATCATGAAAACTAATGAGTTCTCCTTAAAGCTTAAATGGGAAGAGAGCCAGGACTTCTCAAAATGTAATCAGAAATCAAAATTCGCTCTCATTCTCCCTTTATGAGAAGTTGAGGTAATGCAGAAGTAGCATAAGTGGTAGCAAATGTCAACAGCAACCAAAGCTGACAAGACTGACTATGACCCCCTCTTGCTAGTTTGTTTAGAAGCAAGCTGATGGCCGATTTGGTTTCCTGATATATGCTGTTACCTATTTACTACCTAAACAGGCATTTTCTTTTAAATTAATTAGAGGCTAGCAGCTCTGAAAGCATTCGTTGAAAAGCCTAACTTTGTGCGAAAACTGTCAGTAACGAAAATTGTCTATAAAATGACAACTGTATTTTTTAAAAACATTGCCTGGCGAAAAGCTTGGCACAAGGAAGGAAAAGTACGTGCTCAGATATTCTTGAAAACTTTGTGGATTGCCCAATCACCTGATAAACTAACTCGGATCCTCTTTCTAACAAAATTCTTTTGTTCAACAAGATTGCGCCTCTTGGTTTTTCGTTGTAAAAAGAGATGAGTTGCAACTCCTAACTTGGATCCTGATAAACTAACTTGGATCCTCTTCCTATCATTAGAACAGCGTACATTTTAGCTTCCCTTTTCAGTAAAAATTATCCAATGGAATTCTCAATGGTGATTTTGCTGTGTGTCCTTCTGATGTACACTGTGGATTTTTGGTGCAAGCGTATTTCTCAGCCAGTGGTAATGCACTGACGGACATAACTGGTGCGCTATGCTGGGTAATAACACTGTTATAAGCTAGAATGAAAATTCCAGGAATGAATAAAAATTATTTGAAGTATATAATTTGGGTGGCAGTTACATGGTGCGCGCTGGTAAGGCTGGTGGATTCGAAAGCTGGTGACGCGAACACTAAGCTGAAGAAGTGCTGCAAGGCGTATGAGCCGCTGCAGCACAACAAGACGGCGGTGGACGAATGCCTCAACAAATTCTGCGATTTCGACTCCCTCTCACAAACCAACGTCAGTACGCTTCTCACTTTTACAGCGCGCCCTTTAACTTAGCGTCTACGTGCGGGTACGTTTGATACCAGCGAGAATTCACTGTTGCTGGATTTGGATAATGAGGAACACGAACACACATAGTCTTTAGCATTTTCGCATCTCCTTAATCCCTTTTTCTATCCTCACTGCAGGTAGACTACCGCTTTTGTGCGTGTCACTGGTGAAAGTAGCTTTCGTCAAACGACCATTTCGTTTTTTTATGTATTTTAATACAATTCTTCAAAATATTTCAGTTTGCTGAGGCAACATGCTTTTGTGTACGTGTGCAGGCAAATCCGTATCGTATATGAATTTCGGACAGTATTTGCTGACTTGAAAAAATCCATGAGAACATTTGTATTGTACATGTGTTCGGAATTTTTGGCATGAGTATGTTTGTGTGTGTGTATTTGTCTGTCACAAACTTCAGCTTTTCTAGCTCTAGATTTCAGAGCTAGAAAAGCTGAAATTTGGGATCAATGTCCCCAGATGTATATAATCATTTTCAAACATAATTAATGGCGCAAGCGCAGTAGCGAACTACATTGCTGCTATCCTTCGAATGTTTTTCACCTAATTATCACAAATTTTCGAATTTCTGGTTATTTTAAGCAAAACTCACAACTGGCTCTTTTTCCACTGTGAGAAAGATATTTTGTTCTGGAAATAGCTGTTTTGACGCTCTCATAGCTCAGCACAACGGACAAAGCACTGTTTAGTTCTTGTACCGAGCCCCATGCAGCTGATTTGAAAGGACTTACTAGCAAGCTGAATGCTAGCGACACCCGAGGGACTAAACATGTAGAGAATGGAGAGTGAAAGAGAAAGTGAAGAAAAAAAGTGAGTGCGAATCGTGAAGTCTTCGTTCAGAAACTGAACTGCAGACTTGTCAGCTTCTCTTAAACTCAGTTATGACAATTAGTGGAAAACATTTAGTGCAAAATATTTCAGGTACTCGTGTTTCTGAAGCACTGTAATGGGACCGTTGTTGGAAATATGTTCGCGTGTGCATCCTCGAATCACGATCACACCCCGTGTTGCAAGGTACTAAGGCATTTCGTGTCTACTGCTAGCCCTTCTGCAATGCAGCATTCAATTTATTTCAGAAATTTTGCTTTTTATCAAGAGTAATCGTAAAACAGCGCAGTAATCCAGTTTTTACTTCAAAAAACTTGTCGGCTTTTTATATTAAAATTTCATATTGTCAAATTCATAGGCAAATGGAGTAAGAGGGCGCTGTTTGGAGTACTGCTCGGCACAAGATGGCGTGCCAACGAACTATTTGGACTACGTGGCATGTCTGGATCACTTCAATGTCATCAGGGATTGCTTCAAAAATTATTTGGACAAGCATCCGGCCATTAAGTCTTGAAATGCTAATTTCATTTTCCAGAAGTGTAAGTCGAGCTGTGCATAGCTTGAAGCATTAGCTGGACGATATCTCAAAATTTTTTGATTATTCGGAGTATGTGTCACTGCTGTTGCCTTTGCATTGCTTTCTTTTAATTTTCCTTTTTCAAATGTAAGCGACAATTTTATTGTGCTGCCTGTGCATTTTTTGTAGTAAAATACAATAACATCATTAATGATGCTGTAGTCGCTCATCACCAATTTGTACTTCTGCTTAGCAAAGTAATTGTAATTGAAAAGTACAGCGTCATGTAGCAAAGAAAGAAGAAAGTTTTTCATTCGCAATTTAACTACAAATTTCGGTGCGATTATATGCGTGATGCAGGCGTGCGCGTTGACTAATTTGAAGTTCGCTTACATATGCACAGAGAAAATCCTTGCAAAGTTTCGGCTTTTTCCAGTTCTTGAGTTAAAAATGTTCCTAGCAAAACTATCACATGCTCATACAAGATACTCAGACGTGCTTGAAAATTGATACGACGCTCCTGAAGTCGCAATTGGCCAGAAAACACGCTAGCAAGTTCACAGTACCCAGTCTTGTTTGGTTGTTTAGTTAAAATACCTGGACAGACGCCACAGCGCTACACCGTAAGAAAGCATAAAAATGTTCACCACACTGCTACTTCCCCCTGCTTTTCCCAGCTCCACTTTGCTTGTCTCCTTACTCTCTCAATTCCCTTCCTTCTAAAACAAGTTGGGTTACGAATGTGCGAATAAGAACCAGAAAAGCAGAGGTGCTTCATTTCTTACATGCTAACAAAAACCAGATTGTACTGATAATTTTGATGTCAAAGTGCAAAACAACAGAAATAAACTGGTTGCGCACTACAGCAGCAATACGATCACGCATTTTTGCCATAATCCTTTGCTACTGCCTAGTGTAGCGCATGAATATACTGGCACGATGTGTAAAAAGACCCTGTCTTAATTTTTATGCGTTTTTTGCAGTAATGCAATGCAAAAAACGCATATTGACGAGAGGTTGTCTGT